TTTGTTGTTTTCATCTTTTTTTGTCTTTAAGAAACATTCTTGTCTATCCCATCATTTATTCCATCTATTTTAATATATGAAGCATATTATGAATTAATTATCTATATTTAACACACACACTACTATACCTGTTGCTTATGTCTTACAAGGTATTTGCTTCTTCATTAGCCAAATCCCATAAATCAGTTTACTTATGTTTTATGCTTCATACATCTTAGAAGTTGTATTCATCCTTTTTATTTTTGTTTTAAACAATACCACGAAAAGTTCTTAAATAATTCAGCAAACACTTGCTTTGCATTACCTTAGCAAGTTGTGTGGGTTGTCCTTTAAATTCTCTGGAATTCATCAACTATTATACATCATGCTTACTGAAGTAATCCAGATGCAGACTTCTGTCATATCTTTCATGGATTGTTACAGAATTCTAACTCATCTCCCTGCTTCCATCTTTTTCCCATCAGTCAGTTTCCCACTCATATCTCTCCCTGATATTCCAAGTATCATCAAAGTTTACAGCTTTTATACTATTGTATTTTTAAAAAAATAATTTTGTGGTTGTGTAAGGACAACATGCCTTTATTTTATATGTTTATTTTTATATGATTCTAAGGATTGAACCCAGTGCCTCACATTTGTGAGGAAAGTGCTCTGAGCTACAGACCTAGCCCCTGTATTTCTTTTTCTTGGAAGTCTCTTCCCCAGATACGCATGCTTCCTTTCAATCTTTACTCAAAATTTAACTTCTTAGTCCTTCTCTTACTGCCCAAAATAAAATTTCAAGTTCCATTCTACTACCTATTGCACATTACTCTTTGCCATTTTATTTTTTAGCACTTATGTAACTATCAATTATTAGTAATATAATATTTGACATACTATTTTAATTATTTAAGAAAATACTTTCCATTGAAATATTTTCTGTGTTTCTTTATTGATGTAATATTTAATCTTACAATGATACCTATATATAGTATGTGATTAATAAATGGTAAATGATTGAATAAATGACTACTATTCCATGCATGAGTAACCCCATATAGAAGAACTAAAATGAAGAATTTAGTGTTACTCTAATATTAAGATTACAGGCTTTGAGTAAAATGAATCTGAAATAGACTTCAGGATCTGTCACTTATTGATTAGGCATTGAAATATGGATAGCACTGGCCAATTTGTAAAGGAAACCCAAAGTCAACCTTGGTGAAGGGATGCATAAAAGCTAAGATGGCAAATATGTTGCTTCTTACAGAGGAGAAGCAGTGACTTAATTTTGTTGAAGAAAACATAAAACACATGAGTGTGTAATAAGCATGAAAATGAAAATCACTAATGGATCATGATGCTTTTAGAAGAAATTAGGAATGGATTGCTATACGGACAAATTAAAGTGAGGGAAATTTTAGGAATAATATTATTAGGGCTATGAATAAAGAAATGGATTCTGGTTTAGAGAATGTTGAACTAAAGGTAGTGATATCAATTGTAAGTTTATTTCTGTAATCTGATAGACATGTACTAAGAGAGTTAATCAAAAGAGCACCTATGAAAATTGAATGGACATAACTTAATTGAGAAATGTTTCAGAGAAAGGATTGGCTGGATTTCTTTTATTATTGATTATCAGATCAATACAGAATAGAAATATTATGTATCATATGTAAGCCTCAATGACTATTGAGTCACATCCTCATTCACATAACAAAAAGGACAAGAAAAAGGTCCATGAATGATGAAATAAAGTTCACTTGGGGACAATAGTAGGTTGAAACATAAATGTACCTCAAGACATAGGTACACTTCAGAGATCTGAAAATGAGTTGGAAACATGGCTGCAACTACAGAGAGACTGGAAGTGTTAAGAACACAAATACAATGGTCACTTCCATTCACACTGAACACAGGTGATCAAATCATATGGATAAGGGAATGAACATACAGACAGAATGGACAAGGGATCTTCCCAGAGATCCCTATGCTGAGGGAGTTGGAAGAGAAAGAGCAAGATAATGAATGACATATGGAATTGTAATGGGGGAAGAAGAAGAATCTACTGAGTGTATAGACTTTGAGAAAAGTGTTTCAATGATGGTGAAAGTCATGAAAGCTTAATAAAATCATTTCATTCTGTGACTAAGAATATTTATTGTTAAGTAAATAGATGAATGAATAAAGCATATGCTACACTACAGATGGTAGGTAAAAGAAAGGATTGCATAAAAGTATACAAACAAGACAATCAAAAGATGTTTGGAAAAGAGGCATGTGAAAGAATTCCCCATGCAAAGACACTTTGCTGGGAGAATTCCAATTTTATTGCAAAARGCTGTGTGCTTATATAGAACTAAGGGGGAGATGGTAGGGCTTAGATAAATGGCAGGCCAATGTTTATTGGCAAGTTCTTCCAGATATCAACTCCGGAGCCCAGGAATTAGTTCTTATTGGGGCTAAGGTTTCCCGCCAGCAAGATTTGAAATTGGCGCTGGCGGGAGAGTTCACATGGGCGGGAACTTTTCACGCCACTGCAGAAAAGAGGAAGGTAGGAAGAAGAGGTCCTTAGGCACCATGTTGGGGTTTTTTCTCTGTACATGGATGTGTGCATGCAGAAGTTTGGGACAGAGTGAGAATTGAGGAGAGATGGACACACTGAAGATGAAAGAGAGATTGAGGATATTTTATAAAAGATACAATTAGCATAGAGTCATGATAAAAATCATTAATAGAGGAATTACACACAATTATACAAAGTATGTCATTAATTGCGTGTGGCTCACACCAAATATTATTTCTTCTTGGGAATTTATGAGGATAACTCTTTTATAGCTAGGGATCCTTTCACCTCAACAAACTTTAATGAGTATAAATCCCATTTTCCAAGTTAGGAACAGAAAGATAATTGATGTTTTTAAGATACTGAGACCTGTGAATATTATTGATAGCTTGTATGTTTTGCATAGGAGACAGTCACTTGGATGTTCCTCTCCTTTTATGTAGAAAATGTTATGCTTCTTTGCAGACCACCAAAAACCTGACAGAATCTAATCCAATCTGTCTTTGAGTTCATTGGAAGTGGAACAAACACTACCTGTAGGGGGCAGTGGAGAATCAGTCCTTATAAGATTACAAGAAAAAATTTTCCTAGTGTGACTATTGAGGACATAAACTTATCAAAGTTAACTACGTGTAACATTATCTTCTGATGCGCTCCCTTTAGTAACCATCAGAATATGTCATTACCTATCTCTTATGATTTGTGCTGCTTCTCTTCTAAAAAAAAGAGGCTTATTTCAATAGCCTATGTTAAATGACACAGATAAGCAAATTCAACTGAATGTTTTATGAAATATTATATATTTAGTAATATTTACATGAAAGTACACTGAGCATACAGTTTGGCAAAATTTAAATCCATTTACAATTATCTCATTAAGGAGTCATACCTGAGCAATGCCTTAATGAGGTGGTAATGAGGTACAAATATACTGCCAGAATAGACATTGGAGAAACCCTTCTAGAAAAGGCAATTCAATAAAGGGATAATAAGGGGGAAAAATCTTATATCTTTCTTTTGGTTTATGCCCCTTTATTTTAGGATGTACTCCCTACTCTGTAAGCGTTGGTGGTTTTCATGGGATAAGAGTGATTAAAAAGAGCCTAGTGAGTAAGGGAAGAATAGATAGATTTAAACTTTAAATGGAGATTAAAATAGTATTTCCCACCCATAAGGGATGTTAAAAGGATTAAATTAGTTCACATGTGTCATATATGAAAACACTCAATAATGTGTGACAGAATTGTTATTTTTAACTGCTAATAAGGAAACTGGTTGTTTCTTGTTTAAGATTATACAACTCATCTTTTTGAAAACTTAGAAAATGAATTGAAGATGAGGCTGAGTCACAAAAATCTTTCTCACTCAGTCTCCTTTATTTGGCTTTGCAAGAAACTAGCCAAGGATACAGGCGTAACTCTGCACTAAAATAGATGTTTCCTTGGGGGAATCTTCCACAGTTTAGAATTTTCAGCCTCATACATCAATTAACTGACAAATGAATTGCTAATGATATGAACAACACTACCTTAAAAAAATCAATGAGTCTCCAAAAATGTATACTTTCAAATTTACCAATAGGATCAGGTGAATAATTTCTAAACTCCTTTTCATAGTTAAGTTCTTATAAAAAACACTTCCTCAAAAACTTTTCAAACTACTCTAATGAGCCAAATGAAGCATTTTTTTAAAAAAAGAAATTCTTGCAAATCTAGCAACTCTAGTATGTATCATTTCCATGCTCTAACACATACAAGGCTATGATTTCTTATATTTTTAGATTTTTCTACAATATTGCAAGAATGGAAAACTCCACTGAGAAAATCCCTCATAAGAAACTATTAAATAGTGCATAGAATCTGACCTGGTTCTGGTGTGACTTTTTTTATATGCAAGGTTTATATGTGTCTGTGTGTGTGTGGTGTGTGTGTGTGTGTGTGTGTGTGTGTGTTAAATAAGCAAAATTAAAAGAGATGATATGAAGAAGGTTGCAGTTATATTTTTCATAAATTTACTTTAAGAGAATAAATATATAAAAAAACTTCTAGTTTCATTTATAGATCAGATTTCTAGAAAAAGCCCCCAAATATTATAATTAGAAATGTTCATGTATTTATCCACACTTTTTATAGTTACAGATATAAAACTGTTAATGATCATCATGTTCTTTATAATCATTGGTAGTCTTTGTGAAAGAGAACCTTAGAAGTAATTATATCATAAAAGTACAAGTCACTATTTCAAGCATCTTCATTCATGAAGAATCAACATATACTAAACCTAACAAAGCAGCATCAACCGAGAATCTGATAAGACTGGGGAAAAAAAAAAAAAAAAACAGCTTGAAGAGAGAAAAAAAAGCGCTGACAATTTCAAACAAACAAAAGCAAAGTCAGATTATCTTGGAAGAAGTTCTCTGTTTTGTAGAAGACAGTAAATGTTGACAGACCTGTGAAGGAAATGGACTCCGCGAGGGGTCAGAGGTGGTGACATAAGCAGCCTGTGTGTAGGCATAGCTCTTGAACCGAGGCTTAGGGGAGGAAGATGTTCTCTCATAGCCCTGTGCTAGACTGACCGTAACCTGCAGAGAAGGGTTTTGGGGAGGGTGGACAGACAGGAGGATACATGGTAAGTAACCCTAGAAGGACTACTTTCCAACATGCCAGAAAATAGAACATTAAATGGAAATGATGGATGAAATATTTAATGCTAAACAGAGATAAGTGACATCAGAAACTGATATACCCCAAGAATTGTGATGCTTACAATTCTTGTGGTACAGAACAGATAATCTGGGAAGATAATGAAGGTGGGTTTGAACCATGCACATTTCAGAGTGACACAACTCCAGTATTTATATGGTATGATGGTCTTCAGTCTTACAAAAATAGGCATCCAAAGACAATTTTCTCTGAACCCAAAGTAAACAAGGCAAAATTCATCAGATCAATACCCTGGAAAGGACTGAAGCTTTCATAAACTAAATATAGAACTAGCTCAGTAGAGTGCGAAAATTAGGCTTAAGAACTTTCCACGCCTTCAGCAGACATTTTGCTAAAGGCTTTTTCATCACTGTTTTTGTCTATGAAAAATACAAGAAAACACCCCAAATTACCCACTGTTGAGAGCAAGAACAAACCAATTAATGGAAGAACCCCACTGCAGTCTATAAAATGATTTAATAAATAATTTTATCATATGTATTCTCCATTTAATTTAAATTAGAAATGTTTTTAATCACTTTTCAATAATATTAAACTTTAATAATTAAAAATTGCTAATGCATCAATAAATTGCCTCCAAAAATTTTAAAGTACATTATTAAACAGAGAATTTGCCATTGTTCTTGCTCTGGTAATTTACTCTTTAGTTGATGGAGAGTTTGAAGTTTAATATGCACATAAGCCTGCCTTTTGTTTTATTTCAACTTAAATATACATCCAATTTAAATGCAATATATTCTGTATTCTATATTCCTATAATACAGTGCATATCAATAGTAGAGTATTTTAATAATGTGCTTTAAAAATAATATAGTACATATCAGATGAAATTTAAAGGCTTGCATTATCTTTTTGTTACTGACTTTCTATGTATATGCACATTATGCTATGTATACATATGGTGATATATGTGTGTGTATATATATGCATGCATTAAATAGTTATTTTTATGTGTGATACTTAAAAATGCATATAAAGTAGAAAATATCTTTGATATTAGTTGTCATTTAAATCCTTTACCTGTTGAGAATAGTGCATTTGATGATGTAATTCAAAATGTTCTTCTCTAGTCACTTTTGAAGGCCTCGGCAACATTTCCACTTCCTGGATGGCTTCAATGCTCACTTGTTGAGGCAAAACTTGGAAGAGTGATGTGATGTACATTAAGATGGACTTCTTATCCGGATAAGTGGTAGCAACATCTGTAAGCACATTAACACCACACATCAATTTTTGGTTTCTATATTTGAGACTCTGAAAGGGTAATGAACAAATCAATGTTACAGGAAGAAGACAGATTAATGAGCACTCGATTGTCCATGAATGTCCTCTAGAGACTAATTAGAACATGATAATCAGGCCTAAAATATCCCTGCAATTTGGCAGACCAATGAGATGAGCACTAAAGTTAATTTCTTTTGCTTCTTCACATAAAAACTTCATTCCGTAATTCTTTTTCCTAACTCAAATTGCCAAAACTCACCCATCTAAGAGACTACCTTTCATTAGAAACAAAAATAAAAAATTACACTTTCCTTTCCACAGAAAGTTATATTAGCATGTCAATTAAGATGGTGCATTTGTGATTAAACAATTATACAAAAAGGTTTAATGCCTTGGCTCCTAGTAAACAAAACTGACACCTCTTTATTACATTTTTGCTGGTATTAAAGTATGTAAAGAGCTAATTCTGATTCTGTGTAAAAATGAGCCATGTATTTCCTCAAAAAATAAAATAAAACACCATATATCATGTGGATAATGATTAGTAATATTCACTAAGTATATTAATGATATTCGTTTCCCTTATGGTGCATCTGTTAAAGTAGGATGTTACTTTCCTTCTTGGACTTTCAAAATATATTTAAAAGTCCTCCACATAGAATGACGCTGACTTCATGTCATTTACTATATCCAGGGAGTGATATCCAGTGAATATCATTTATAATATTCAGTGAGTTAAGTGTGCATTATCAATAATAATTTGTAATACCATATATAAAATGGAAACTCCTTTGAAAGATTCTTGTGCCACTTGGCATTGAAATTTACCCACTGTGCTCACCCCAGGGAAACAAGATGTAAAAAATATCCTTTGTGTGAAGTGAATCATTAATTCCAGAAGTAGTAAAATGCAAATAATTGCATTTTACTATTCAGTCCTTAAAAAGAAGTAAATTCAGTCATTTGTAACAACATGGATGAACCTGTGAGACATTATGCTAAGTGAAATAAGCCAGGAACAGACACAAACAATATATGATCTTATTCATATGTGGAATCTTAAAACTTTGAACCTGAAGAAGCAGAAAGAAGTGACAGTGGTTTCCAGAAACTGGGAGGGGAGATTGGGAAAATAGTGGCCAATAGATTTAAAATTTGAGTTAGTTGCAATCAGTTCAATGGCTCTACTCTATGACCTAATTAATAACAATGTATTATATCATTAAAGATTGCTAAGCAAGTAAATTTTAAGCAATAACCACAAAAAACATAATATGATGTAATGAGTATGTTAGTTTGATTTAGCCATATCATAATGTGCACATATTTCAAAACATCTGGTTATATACATGATACATACATATAATTTTTACTTATCAATTTAAATAATTACTTAATCAATTTTAAAACAAAAAAGGAGACCAGTAGTCCTGTCAAGAGGCCAAGGTAACTCTGAGGCAATGTAACAATGTATTTTTCTTTCCACATATTTATCTGAGTTTAACTATAACCTTGAAAGATATCTTTAAAATATGTATATTCTAGGCAGGTATTCTGATTATGAGTGAAAAAGTCAAGAGTAAAATTTTAAGTCTGCTAGCACAAAAGGAGGTTGAACAAGTCACTTAATCCTTTGTAAGTAGGACCATAAATTAATCAGAGTTACTATTTTTAAGGTATTTTAAAAAAGAATTAGAGGGTAGAAAAAAATTAATTTTCCTTGGTCTGCTTCTATCCAAAGTATATAGTGCTTCTTAATATTTAATGTGCATATGAATCACCTGGGGACCATTTTAAACTACAGAATGTGGTTCTGTAGGTCAAGGGTGGAATCTGAAGCCTTGCATTTCCAATAAGCTACCATGTTATATTAAAACTGGTGGCCTGAGGAACAGATTTTGGGTAGCAAGTTTTAAAAAAATGCATCTAATCTGTTATATCATCTACCATTGGGATTTTAAATACTTTTTTCAAAAATATATTCATTGGGCACTTCTATGTACAAAGACCAAGGGGTACAAAATTATACATTTACTCTGCACTGTATTTGCAAATTTAATCACTGAGCAACAGATATTAAAGATAATATTTTTTCAAGTACTGTTTATAAATAATTAAAAGAATATTTTGAGCATGACTGCTACCTTTCTTCAAAATCTACTAATTGGGAGGAAGGATTTGGAATGTTTTCATCACAAATCAGTGATAATGTTTGAGAATATAGATATGCTTACTCTGATTTTGACATCCTAATTATATATGTATATATATATATATATATATATGCATTGAAACATTACATAGTGCCCCATTAATACATAAAACCTCTATATTTCAATTTAAAAAATAACTAAGATCCTATCAACTTTGTAACTCTGAAATATAAAATCTCCCAGTCATTTTATAATTATTTTTCAAGTATTTTTCCTAGTATGATGAACCAATGATTATAACTTGAAATTCAAAAATGCTTTATTTGGAGGCTGGGGCTGTAACTTCGTGGCACAGTGCCTGCCTAGCACTTGTAAGGTTCTGGGTTCGATCAATAGCACACCCCCTAATATAAACATATAATAAAGGCATGCTGTCCATCTACAACTACCAAAAAATTGCTTTATTTCCTTCTTATAAGTAACAAGATATCTACCATGTCATGATATCTTAGAGCTCTGTTGAGTGTCTTAATTGAGAAATGCACTGAATTATAAAAAAATGATCCCTTGCCTATTCACTGCTATGTTTTACAGAGATGTGTATGTGTGTATATTTGGCCTCAAACATATGCCATAACAAAAAAAGAAAAATGATTAAAAAATTATTTAGGCATTATCACTACTGCCCCAAGGAAATGACAAAAATTGTATTAGAGTGAAAGTAAATATTAAACATCATGTGAAGTCAAAGTAAATATTAATAAATATCAGTTAGGGTTTTCAAGATGATAGGATAGAGGAGGTCACTTTCCTAGCTGCTCCAGGGTGAGAAACCAAAAAAAGCAGACAGGCAGATTCTCTGCAAGATGGGTGAACAAAAAAGTGTCGGGTGGGGACTTTACTGTAATTAACATCTGGACATTCAGAGTAGATCTAGGACTCAGGAGATTGGATATAACAAAATAAGGGGAAAAAAAAACCCAGCAGCATAGCCTCTGCCACAGCCAGGCAGTTCCTCCACCAGCACAGTGGAGGGATAAGGAAATTAAAGGAATCTGCATTTATCAGAGGCCCCAAATGTGATTCCATATTTAGAAGATCCAAAATATTCCACCAGAAAACTTCTATAACTAATAAATGAATTCAGCAAAGTAGCAAGATATAAAATTAACACCCATAGATGCCCTTCAGTAGATGAATGGACAAAAAAACTGTGGTACCCAGTAGAATAGTACTCAGCAATAAAAGAGAATAAAATCATGTCATTTGCATGTAAATGGACTGAGTTGGAGAATGTAATGCTAAATGAAGTTAGCCAAGCCCCAAAAAAACCAAATGCTGAATGTTTTCTCTGACATAAGGATGCTGATTCATAATGGGGCTGGGAGGGGGAGCATGGGAGGAATAGATGAACTCTAGATAGGGCAAAGGGATAGGAGGGATAGGGGTAGAAAAGATGATGGAATGAGATGGACATCATTACCCTAAGTACATGTACAAAGACATGTATGGTATGAATATATATTTTGTATACAACCAGAGATATGAAAAATTGTGCTCTATGTGTAATATGAGTTGTAATGCATTCTACTGTCATATATAATAAATTGGAATAAAAGTAAAAAAATTAAAAATAAAATGCATTTCTATACTTCAGTGATGATTACACTGAAAGACAAATTAGGAAAACTACACCATTCACAATAGCCACAAAATAATAAAATATTTGAGAATCAATGTAACAAAAGAAGTGAAAGACCTCTACAATGAAAACTATAGAACACTAAAGAAAGAAATTTGAAGAAAACCTTAGAAGATGGAAAGATCTCCCATGTTCTTGGTTGGGTAGGCAGAATTAACCCTGTCAAAATGGCCATATTACCAAAAGCATTATACAGATTTAATACAATCCTATTCAATTCTTCATTGAAATAGAAAAAGCAATCATGAAATTTATTGGGAAAAATGAGAGAACCAAAATATCCAAAGAAATTCTTAGCAAGAAAAGTGAAGCAAGGAGGCATCACAATATCAGACCTTAAATTATATTATAGAGCCATAGTAACAAAAACTACATGGTATTGGCACCAAAATAGACACATAGACCAATAGTACAGAATAGAAGATACAGAGACAAACTCACATAAATACAGTTATCTCATACTAGACAAAGGCTTCAAAAACATACACTGAAGAAAAGATAGCCTCTTCAACAAATGGTACTGGAAAAACTGGAAATCTATATGTAGTACAATGATATTAAACCCCTATGCCTTACCATACACAATACTCAACTCAAAGTGAATCAGGGACTTAGGCACTAGAACAGAGATCCTGTGCCTAATAGAAGAAAATGTAGGCCCAAATCTCCACTATGTCAGCTTAGGAAATGATTTCTTTAATGAGTTTCCTGTAGTGCAAGAAGGAAAATCCAGAATCAATAAACAGGATGCTATTAAACTAAAAAACTTCTTCACAGCAAAGTAAACAGCCAATAACGTAAAGAGAAAGCCTACAGAAGGGGAGAAAATCTTTACCACACATACCTCAGATAGAGCATCAATCTCCAGGATATATAAAGAACTCAAAAAAACTTAACACGAGAAAAAAAAAAGAAGAAATAACTCAGTCAATAACTATGCTAAGGAACTGAACAGATATTTCAAAGAAGAAGTTCAATTGATCATCAAAAAATAAAAAAAAATGTTCAACATCTCTAACAATTAGAGAAATGTAAATCAAAACTACATTGAGATTCCATCTCACTCCAGTCAGAATGGCAATTATCAAGAATACAAGAAACACTAAATGTTGGCAAGAATGTG